TAACCTATCAGGAACTATAGAACTATTGTGGGTGCAATGGAACTCATGTCAAAACTTGCGGTGCTAAAAAATGAGGTGCCAACTTCACGCACGCAAAATTCTCTCTATTAAATTAAGATACGTTATTGGGGGTGTCCACCGAATAAACAGTTTTATTTCTTAAATATCTCTTTTCTCTTAGTGTACCATCGATCGCGTTCCTGTATCGCGACAAGCATTGGCGGTAGTCACCACTTCAGACTCAAGGGACATTCCAGAGTTTTGCGCGCGCGTTTTCACAGTATTCTCTCCTTGATAAAGTATCGATATCGTAAAAGTATCGAAGCTCTTCGCTGTGTAAATGCGAAAATCAGAGCTCTTGTATGCCCGTCGAGATAAAGTGATCATCAAGTGTAGTGACAGCTTGTTCTATTAGAGAAGAGAGTTGCCGAAATCGCAACCAGTCTCCTAAATCGTGTCTCATCAATCGTACTTGATTTTCTTCATGTCTTTAGCACACGTACAAAATAAGATATAATCTGCAAATTTTTTGGTCTACATTTCTCATTGCACATTTATTTCTCATTTTTACCGTTAGACATCGTTCATATTCGATAATAAAAAAATTGATGAGGAAACCAGCTCGATTTCGGTTATATTCTCTCCCTTATATTCCAGCACCCCTTAGATATTCATCTATTTATTCTTGCACGTTGCGTTCCGTTTTCACATCATCCGAAAAAAATCATTTTTTTACGTGGAAATGATTTCTAATGTATATAAAAAATAATCTGCTTATTTTATACAGACAGAGAAAGCGGGGAAGAGACGAAGGAAGAGGATTCTCCATCGGCCAATGCTCGAGTTGAAGTGTAATCTCAGGGGGAATCTTCGATGGAAATGAAATAATTACACTCTCTTTCACAGCTTCGGTTTGTGCAATTAACGCGCGATAACGATCGCGCCGATATGTGTGCCGATGTGTCGCTTTAATACGGCATATGGAACAATCGACGTTATCGCCGAGGACTGCCCTTTCAACCGACGACCGTTCGACCACGCAATCGCTCGCACGGCGGTAAACAGGATCTATCGGCTCTCGCGTCTCGTGCATAATAAAAGGGAGGATATTAAAGTAGGCCGCGGTCTGCGGGACGAGCCGCGTGTACATTTGCATGTGCGAAAGTGCGCACTCACACACCACGCGCCACGCACGTCGTCGGAGACGCTGGCAGGTGTGGCATGACAATGGAAAAATTCCGTTTGCGCAGCTCGTCAGGAAGCCGGGCGTCCACGTGCGTCGCGTCACCCGGAAAATGCCCGCGACAGGACGAGACGAAGACATGCCGGGGATGCAGTTGGGTGACCCATAGGGGAGACCAAGGCTTAATGGCCTCAGGTATGAGGTTTCACCTTTATGTTGTGTCCTGTGTTTCTTTTTAGTACTTATTTTGAGAAGAATAGTGGATACAAAATCGCGAAATAATCCTTTTAAAACATCCTTTTCCTTGAATCTCATCAAAATCGAAATAATAATACAGTTAAAAAATAGAAAAGTAACTGGTTTGGTAATAACAAAGTAAATTTTCGAGCTTCTCGAAATTTTCTGTTAATATTCTTTATTATAACTGAATAAAATTAAGCGATGCGTTACCCACAGAGTGAAATTTCTTGCAATTGTATGATATACTGTTTCTGATAATAAATGCCATTGTCATTCATAAAATGATCGAAATAAAGCATATGGGCGGACGAGATAAAGTTGACCTATAATTAAGAGCCGGTAGAAGAGCCGTGGGGAGATCTCTCGCGGAGATTCTGGAACTATTAATCAAGGTGTACGTGTTTCATACGTGGCTTTCTTTATCCTGCATTACTGGGCAACTGAATCCGGTATTAGAGCAAGGTTATGTTGCTGCGTCTTTATATTTTGTTTATTACAAAATAAAATATACGATTGATGGAGTCGTGGCGGACATTAATACATAGAAGAAGGTTGTCATGTTTATACAATCAGTCACAAACAATTGGTTGCCTGAAAAATTTCGAAAAAATATAGATCCGGTCTCTCTTATTTCCGGAGAGGGTTCAACGCCGCTTGTGAAGAGCAGAGAGCTCCCGGCGACAGAAGTGCGTCGACGCCACGGTCGCTTTATTGCTTCCGAACATGGATCAGATATGTCGCAGAGGCATGCAACTAATAAACGCTCGGCGTTAATAATTAGCTCGTTCGCGCCTCAGGTAGAAATTACGACGTCGCGCTGAATTAGCTACTGGACGCGGAACGCGCTTTTTCGAAGAAAAATGACTTTGTTTTCGCGAGATTCCGCCATTAAGATGCAGCAATTAAGATTCCGCCGCTCCTCGATCACCCGACTACTCGCGTGCCTCGGAGCGATTTCACGTTGTTGATATCGCCCGATCCGTTCGTCGATTAACCTAACGATCATCTTACATCATTAGTTGTCCCTGGCAAGTCTGGCGATTTATTTTTGTCGCTCGTGAATCGCTGGAAATTGAGAGGAGCGTTATTCGAGTGTATGAAGTTGGCACTCCACTTTTTGAAATTTATAATTTTGAAAGTTGTTCCAGATTGTTCTGACTTTGTACCACATTGTTCCAAAGTGATATTGCTTCATTCGAAACGGTTTTCGAATAAAACAAAAAAAATGATTTTTTGACAAACAGTCTATTGGACCAAGAGTAAACTTATACTATCTTTCTTGTTCCAACCGAGATCTTTTTGTTCTGAGTTGTTCTAGGCTTAAGAATTATAGTTCTAGAGTATGAGACTCATAAGATCATTCGTTCTCCGAAAATTCGTAAAAAAATCGATTTGACAGTACTCGACGTCAAGAAAACACATGCTTCCTTTCTTGTTCCAACCGAGAACAAAAAGACCTATTTTGTTCTGAGTTATACTAGGTTAAACGACGAAGCAATTTCACTTTATTTTGTCATGACATTTTGTAATTATTTCCGCCAATTTTCCTATAATAAAGATTAATTTTTGTAAGAAAT